TGATTTCATTCCATCTGACTTGTCTAAACATCCTCAAGAAAATGAAATGGATTCCTCTTATGGTAAACGGCAAAAAAGAGCTTATAAAGTCAAGCTAACTACATAACTACATTTTATTTTCTCAAACACAGGAATCATTTCTAAGCCCTAATGAGTTTTTAAAGTAAAAAAAAAAAAGTGGGGAGAAGAGAAATTGGTAGGGGTATATATCATTTATAAGCACAGAAAAAGAAAAGCATAAGCTTTGATTGTGGCAAGATAGGGACAGAAAAAAGATATCCCATGATGACCTCATCATATATGGGGCTTTAAGGAGGTTGTCTACCCATCTCTAGGTATTGTCAATTTGTATGCAGCGCAGGCTCAGACTCATCAGTAGTCAGTACTACTCCTTCCCTCACCCTTTCAATTCACTGTTTCACTATTAACCTCTCAGATCACATTCACATTCCATTCTCCTCATATGGGCCGGCCTTCTGCTGGTAGACCCAAGAGGACAGTTTGGACCAGTGCTCGTGCTTAATGTATATAGGGATGTGGGGCCCCATGCCGTAATGGGTCCAAATTACGGAATTAGGACTACCTCAGCTATTGCATAACGTGATCTCACTGCTTTGCTCAACTACTGTCATCATCCCCTCCAAGGACTCATGTTTCCTTTTTCCTGATTCATGAATTACGATTCCTTTCCTGTCGGTGTGCCTTTGATGGGTATGGGTTATTGCCTTTGAGTTGAATTGACCAGACATTTGGCCTCAGCCCAGTCATATATGGTCTCATACCCATGAATACATGCTAGCTTGGTCATTGCAACGAAAATTTATTCCTGTTAGAAAAATGAAAATGGGTGAATGCTAGCTAGAAGATCGGATTCATGTATAAATTAAATCAGATTAGAATTTTCCAATAAGTCGAGTAATAATGCGAAACCATTGGCCCATACTGGTTTAGATCTACTCTGATGATAATGATGATGGTGATAGAGAAGAATACTACAAAGGACCCGGCCATAACGCTATAACTGGTGGTCTGGGGCCCCATAACGTGTCATCTGTCTTAGAACTTAGAAGGGTGGTCCCTTCTTATTATATGCTTAAGATATTCTAATCACCTTAATTACCATCTGTCTGAGCAAGTTTATTAATCCATTGGATGATTATGTATGTTTATTGGGTCTGCTCATGCAAGGACAACCCTCACCTTATGGTGATGGACTAGATGAGCTGAATCAATTCAATGCCATAAAATCCAAATCCAGCCATACCAATCAGACGCATTAAGGATCTATGGCTTGGAAAGTCTACCATACCACAAGAGCAGCATTTAGGGGAGTTCGTATATATATATGAAATCATTCACCTGATTATGAAGCCAAAAAATGTATAGCTTTTATATGGCTATGGGTTTTATTCAATGAAGGATTAATTTATACGATGAGACACCCCTATCAGTTCCTGTTGAGTCCTTTTGTTGCTTAATTTCTATTTTAATTCCCTGCCGCAAATTGCATTTATCAAAAGAATCTGGAGTAAGCCACATTATTCCTCAATATCATTGACCGAGCAGTATGTGGTTTCAGTTGTGACTCGTCAGATAAAAATTCTGTCCGTTTGATAAGAATCTGGATCTCCCATCCGCAAGACATTACGGCTGTATATTAGGAATATTTCCCCACGAATGGTAATATGTAAATACAAAAGATATTTCTAAACTTAGGCTCCATTTGGTTCGTGGGAATAAGGATCTTGATTTATTTCAGTTCCAACTATTTGGTTGGATGGACCATTCCAAACAGACTATGAGAATGGACCATTCCAATTCCGGTTCCAGTTCTGCAGACTAAAAATCAAACAGACCCTTATATTAAATAATAAATTTTTTAAGGTTACAGTGGTCTGCCCAATTTCATTTTCACCCATCAAGGATTTTAAAATCTTATTCACTAAAAGACAAAGTGATAAGCTTTTCAGTAAGAGTATTTCTATATTATATTATGCTATAGAAGATTCACATCTGACCATTAATCTCAACCAATGGGGAGCATGGAGAAAATAACAAACATCAGCAGGCCTGATGCTCTCCAAGTTTATTTGATTTTAGTAATTGTCTTATTTATGCTTTTATATATATATATATACCTCATTTTTGCTATTATCTATTATTTCGCATTAACTTTTTAATGATCAATTAATAAGTTAGACCATAGAATACGTTTTAATCTTTTAGTAATTATACTCCTTGGTAACACTTGTATTTGTGAATCGAATCAACTCAATAGAACTAACAGATTGCATGCATTTGACAAGGAGTACTATATCATTTCAAAGAGTATGCTCTTTTGGAGTAAACATAAACCAAATTAGCCTTATAAATTTAGGAAAATAGCATTATTGAGCTTCTTAAGAACCCAAACTTGATTAACAGTAGAGTAGTGTTATAAGTTTATAACAGGGGGTGCCCAAAATTAGGTATTACGTACCAGGCTATTTTGGGACCAATGGAGATCAACCAAAGAATGGTCTATTGGTCCCATATTGGAGGAGAGAGAGAGAGAGAGAGAGAGAGAGAGAAAAGGGTTGTGGGCGTCATTAAACATCACCACTGTCTGATCGTATGAGAAAACTGAAAAAGGTTGTGGGCGTCATTAAACAGCACCAGTGTCTGATTGTGTGTAGAGAGAAAAAGGTGGTAAGGTTGTAAAATGGTAGGAAACTGAACCTAATATACTCATATAATGCGTATTGCCGAGGAAGCCGACCGTGATCTTATAAGATCTAGAGGCCTCAGCGGCCACATTAATTGCCACAGAAAAGAGGTTCGTCAGCTCCCTCTCATCTGTCTCAATAAGACAACCCCCTCGCAGTCAGACAAACAACAGGAGGCTCAGTCCCCACTTTAATTTCTTCTCTGGAATAGCATTTCTGATAAACCCAGTCGCTAATTAAGACCATGATGAGCCCACTCCTCATCGCCTGTTCATGACCATCTGATTTTCTCGATAAACAGGCTTTCCAAAATCTGGGTTCTTAAAACCTATGCATCTATATGGCGTACACAGTAGTGAAACAGTGTGTAGATACAATATCAAGGATCAGAGAACGACATAGTTGGATCATGATCTCAGCCTTCCGGGCGGTAAGGGTTGATTTTTTGCACAAAAGACCAAAATGTTGTCTTAAAGTCTTAATGATTGGATTACCCATCTGAAGAACAGTCTGTTTTCTAAAATGTAAAAGAGTTCACTCTTCACTGTTGGACAGCCCCCTCTTCCTCCTTGGATATTGTATTTTATGCTGCACAAAATTCAAGATGGATGTACTAATGATCTGGGTCTCAAATTTAGCTGAAAATTGAAATTTCACATTTTGGATCTCTGCTTTCGGCTTTGGGAATGAAGTGCTAATGTCTAAAAATTAGTGATTTCAGCCAAATTTATTAATACCCATATGCAATAGCTCTTATATATTTATATTCACTATTGCAAGGAAAGCTACAAACGTTCATCGTGCACTGCATATAACCATGATTCTGAACTGTATATCTCTGTGTTTTTGTAATGCTAGTTGTAGTTGGAGACTTGGAGTAATTTCTCTTCAATCAGAGAGTCGCCTTCTTCATTCGTTTAGGCTATCTAAGCTCGTTGACTTAGCTATTTCTGTTTGTCAAATTAATTTCCTCACCTTGTTTTAATAAGATAATGAGCTCAGTATTGAATACATCATAGAAATCTATTTTTCATACGGATAGCCAATAGTGTGCAATTGACACAATAATCTATTTTTAGTTATACAAATTTAACCACCCATATGGACGACCTGTTTTGAATGTACAAAGTAATGATCTTCAAACAACAGCGGAAACGCATATATGGATCCAGAAAAAAGGTTCATTCCTAACAGATATAGTGATTGTATGTCCTCACATTGAATTTAAAAGAAATTAGTTTCAGCCTAAGCTGATTCTGAACTAAAAGATTCAGTTCCTATAAATAACATTGAGATGATCATATGGGCAGAATTTATTCACTTCCTGGTTATATTATCAAAGGTTTTACAGATCTAACTACTTGTCCATCACTTTAGAACTCATGCGCTTCTCTACTTGTGTGACACAAAGAAGTTCGTCAATCCAAGAGGTGGGTAATTAATAAACTCCTCAGATGAATCTACATATGGTTTCCTCATAGTGTCACTTTAGAGCGAGGCATACCTCATCAATATTGGTAGAAGATGGCTGGGTTTAATTCCATAATGGAAATGATAAAATTTTGTTTTAATGCACTAAAAGATGCCCCTTCCTTCCATTTCAGAATAAGTGATGAAGTCTTTGATTGATACAGTACTCATGACATTGATCATCAAGAACCTCTACGCGTTGAAAGGTAAATTCAAAGTCGGCATCAACTCATTGAATTTGCACCATGACCAATGAAGGTTTAGAATTTGATCTTTTACATGGATCCTTGCTTATATTGAATGGATTTAACGCTCTTTTGTCTTTCTAGATTTTATGACCAATGGTATGCTGTTGGGTTCTCTATTCTAAGATTTTATGTTGATTTTGAAATTGTTGTTGGTTTTCCAAGTTTGTTCACCCTTCCTCTACAATTCTTGACCATAAAAAGAAAAAAGATATTGTTTTCTATATATGTACCAGAATGAAACATATTTCTCCATCCCAAAATTTTGGCTACTTCAACATCAAACTCTTTAACGTCAAATTCACATTCAAATTCCTCAGTTGGGGGACCCAAGTCTACATCACCATCTCTCTCTCTCTCTCTCTCTCTCTCTCTCTCTCTCTCTCTCTCTCTCTCATTATTAGGACCTGTTTGCATGTCACTGCAATGTGATCATTTCATTTTCCCATCTAATTATATATAGGGCCTAGAAGACAGTTAGACCTGTGAAAACAGAACCCTATAACATTTCTTAATGAAGTTGTTCATCATTCCAGCCATCATGGTCAAAATGCAATTTAAGGAAACCTTAAAACCAACATCACTAAATACCCACATCCAACCTTTGCGCCTTCCATGAGATCTAACAAGAAAAGCACTAATTAAGAACAGTCCCAATTTCCAATAACAACAAAATCTAAACATAACCCATTACCTTAAATACATAGCAAAGTAAACCCCATGACCAACCACTATTGGCAACATGGGTAAGTTTCCTTCTTCAGTTCTTCATAGGAAGGAATTCAAAAAACTGATAAGAAGTGAAGTTAGTATTCATGGTTGGATTCGCCACCTCCGTTTCTTTCTCTGCATCATCAGAACCATTGTTTCTCTCGCTTTGCAGCGGGAAGAGCTCAAGTGTTTGTGATTCTCCACATTCCTCCTCGCCGTTGCGATCTTCGCCATTGATGAGGAGGGTAGAGAGATGTTCCGTGCTGCAGGTTGTTTTGAAAATGTCCAGAGGTCGATTGTTTACAAGTTTTGGGTCTATTTCTGTTGTTGCTGTGGTTATGTTGCTTATGAGAGTGGTGCTTGGACAAGAAGAAGATAGCTGCATCATTTGCCACGTGGCATGCCTTTCTACCGAGCTGCTTCTTTGCTGTAATTCTCCCTCTTCGAATTGAATCCATCCGTCTGTTCTACTTTCTGCTACTGCTGCTCTTTGCATTGAAACAGTTTCCTGACCAGTGACCAAAACGAAAACAAAACAATGAACAATAAATAAATAAATAAAAACTTAAAAATAAAATATAATAAATAAAAGAATGAATGAATTACAAGTTCAAAAGGACTCAACTTGTTTCGTAATAAGAGTCCCCGACAGAAAGGAAGGAGGGCAGCTTTTTAAACCCTTTTCCCAACATACAAAGCTTTTGTTGCTCACTTGCTCTATGCATTTCTTTCTTTCTTAATTTCTTTCTTCTTCTCCATTTGGCCTTTTTTCTAACCTTAATCTTCTTATTATTACTTATTATCATCCTTGTTTCTGTTTAGAGATTTCTGTTTTTGTTCTAGTGGGCAATTATTTAAGTTAAAGATTCATATTAAGAACAAAACAAGGATGATGTATTCACCTCTGCAAGGGTAGGGGGAGCCCAGGTCCAATTCCTGGTCTGCTCAATACCAAAGCCTGTCTTACTCGACCCTGTAGACAGAAAGAAAAACAAAACAATACACTTCATATCTAAAGCGACCAATAAAAAAATATAAAGATCTCTCTCTCTCTCTCTCTAGTGTAGTCTCTCTATTTTGTATGCTTTTTGGTGTCTAACATTGTTTTCTGGTTGAAAAAATAGAAGAAAGATTGAGATATTTTTAAACGCGTATTACCCGATTCTTTCCTGTCCAAGTTTTCGGTATCACAGTGCTGTTGTTCTTCGGCAGCGCGACGACGGCGTTTCTGCCGTTCTCTGGCCTTGTGGTTCTGAAACCAATAGAAAACATTCTTCCCTTCGATCTTACCAAAGCGACGAAGCTGAGCAGTGATGTGTTGGATTTGCTCAGCTGTCGGTGTTCGAGTACCACATCGATACAATTCTTCAAGGGTGCGTAGCTGCTCCGGTGTAGGGTTCCACCTGGAGCTCACCACTGGTTGTGCACTTATAAACTCTCTCTTACTTTGCTCGTTTACAGTTGCTGCAACAGACAACAACCCACCAACAGCCAAAGAACAAACATTGAGGAAACGAGCAAATAAGAAATGAGACCATTGGAAGAAGAAAAGAAAAAGGAGAAAAATACTGCTTACCCAGATGAGTATTCAACGCAAAGAGATCAGTACCATGAATACGACTCAAGCAAGGAGCTATTCCAGCTGCAGAATTAGTGCTGTTAGTTGTAAGCCTTGGCATGAGAGGCCGAAGTTTCCGACTGTTGAACGAATCCGGCATGTTAAACCCACTACCATCACTACAACCCATCATCCACATTGTAGCAGCAACAGTAATAACAATCTCTGTGTGTGTATGTGTGTGTGTCTCTCTCTTTCCCTTACTATTACTCTCTGGTTTCTTTCTATCTACGAGGAAAATGGTTTCTATATATTTAACTGAATAATTTTGCAGGTGTAGGTGAAGGAATTAGACAAGAGAATGATGTGTTGGCTTGGGTGGTAGTAATGGTTCCAGTGGTACTCTCTCTCTCTCTCTCTACGTGTTTCTCTGCAAGGGAAGGGAATGAATCCTGTATAGTGAGCTGTATGGAGGGTATTTGAGTTAGAGAGATGGGGATTGAACAAACAAGAGAGAGGGGGAGGTATAGATTAAAATATAATAGAAGACAGTGAGGAAGACACAGGAAGTTGACTGGGTTAGAGAGAGAGAGAGAGAGGCAAGGCAGACAGGCAGAAAAGGCAAAGCAAAGCCAGGGCTGAAGCGTGGAATTCTGGGAGTTATCGGGAGATGCGAATAAAAACGACGTGACGATCATGAGGGTTATCATAAGCCTCGTCACCTCTTACCTCTCATTTATGGTTCGTCTCCTGACTCGTGCCTTTCACACTTATTCTTAATCCGAACTGCCTCTCTCTCTCTCTCTCTCTCGTTTCCTTCAAATTCCCTCTCTGCCCTCACCTATCTAACCATTAATGCCAGGCCCACCAACTCTTCTCGTCCCATCAATTTCTTTGTATACTGCATGGTTTCTTATGCTAGATATAGGTACGAATGCCATAGAATGATACAACACCTTTTATGCATCATCATAAATCAGGGTTTTGTTTGGATCTTCTTCCCCCTCAGCTCTTCCCCACGCATTCTTCATTAATTCTGAAGAAGGATCATGATCCATATCTATCATCTCCATGCCCATCATGTCCAATTGGCCATGTCCTTATTCATGTACAGAGGGGATACCAGCACTTGCCTGAACATACATATTGCCTTAAGATCATTATGGTAGAATGATTCAATTCTTGAGTTAGTGTACTCTGTGCCCACTTCTGCAACTCATTTCGGTTGTAATATATTTTGTTATTATCCAGTGAAGGGACTGGTCTAATGCCAGGGATATTTCAGTATTTTATTGGGTTCATCTTTATGTTAAAAGTTTTTTTTTTTTTAATTCTGTAGTCTGTACCCTATTTAATTGTTTTGTTTTCTACTAAAAAAAAGTATTTAATTGTTTTGTCATCAGGTCGTTTTCTTTCCTCTTCTGGCAATTCAAATTTAACCTAAAATAATACACCAATAATCAATTTCAGCTTTCTGCTGTTCTCATTGGCCTTTCCTTCCTATGATAATTTTCCAAAGCTCTCTTTCTTTTCCCTAATTTAAAGCGTTAGATCTGGGTAAGGGCTTGATTTTCTTATTATCAATTTCGTCATAAATGTCTAAAGCTCTTATTTAAGTTCCCATCAATCCGTATGTAAGGTCCATTGTCTTTTTTCCTTTTTTAAGGGTTAAAAATGGGTGAAGCACTAAGGTCTAGTTAGAATTTGTATTTGTTTCAATCTTTTTGCTTGAAGAACCTAAATCAGTCTGAATTAGGTTCTCCAATTGTACACCTTCATGAGTACAAATTAAATCTATATTAAATGAAATTTTCATTTTATTTATTTTTTTCGTTTGGTCTTAGTTTGGAAAGAGTACAAATACAAATATGCATGGTTTTCAAAATTGAACTGAATCAGACGCTTGGATCAGAAAACCCAAGAACCAGTCAGGTGATCAGTTCCGTTTTACTCCAAAACTGTTATTTCGCCAAAAACCGTTGATTTGATAATCAAACCACTGATTAGGGCAGTTGAACCGTTCAAACCGTCCAACAATCTTGGTCATTTTTATTTTTTTATTTTTTTTTTGTTAGAATGAGCCATCTATTCAGTTCGAATGATCAGACCATTCGATCTAAGAACCGGACCCCTAATTGGTTTATTGTTCAATTCAGTTTTAAAAATCTTGCAAATATATTAATAAAAAACCTTGTATTTTATATTACTAAACCTGTATTTGCCTGCACATATTAGTATCTGTAATCTTTCCAAACTGATTATTAGTTTTTCCTATTAATTTCCATGCTTTCGATGTCCTTTCAGTCCAATGCATAGACTGTCACAAAGCTGAAAGTTTGGTAGATTTTGGTTGATTTGGGGTATCATCTCTTTATTTTCATTAAAAACCACTGTGCATGGCACACTTGCAGGTGTTCTCATAAAGTCATAATTAAGCAGGCTCAATGCAAGTGGATTTCTCTCTCCCAACCACCTCTCCTTCTGCCTCTTACACTTTTTGATCTTTTAGACATTAGACTCATCCTAAACTCCCTTTTCTGTTAGAGATCTCACAATTTTCTTCTTTTTCCTCAGACAGACAATCTGGTTATTAATTAGAGAATGAAAATTAGTTAATTTTTAGAAATCCCAAAATATATATATAAGTAATTCACGTAGGAAGAAAAGAAACCCTCCCCAAGTGGGAAAGCTTGTTATTCTGTTAGATCTATAACAGGTGAACACAAATAAGATTTCGTCACGTGTCCATGTGAAGATCATGGGGTCTGGGTTCTCGCCCTTTTCCTCGAAATCTGTACATGAGCATGTCATGGTCATGTGTTTGTATAGCGATTTGAGAGTTGTTACACTATGAGGTTGATGAGAGTGGGTTTTCATGTCATGGTCACGTATTTGTATGTCCTCCAACCCAGATCTTACTATGTCTAAGCCCATGGTTGATTCATTCAATATGCTTGTAATGAAATCAAATTCTTACTGCTCTCCATGTCAAATTTGAACATTATAATTCTTAATTTGTTCATTTCTTCTAGCTAGGCTTATTTTGTATTTACGTAATTACTTTTGTTTGTGTTTCATTTATTTATCTTATTAGTCTTGTATAGCGATTTTTTTTTCTTCAACCCATCTTTAAGTAAGATATTACTTCACTTAGAGGATGAAATATTGAACTATGTGCTTGACAAGGACTATATATTGAAAGATGAGAATATTGTGGACATGTTCGCTATATATAAACCTATAAAATGAAGTTGCTCAAAATTCTCTCGTGACACGGACTAGATTTTTCAACAAGGTTTAAGCCAAAATAATGTCCTAATTTCAAACTAATGGCTATATTAAAAGATAAGTTAGGATAAGGGCAGTACATGCATCGGATTTGGATGGGATCTAGCAAAATCCGAATTCGAACCGATTTTTGAATATTTGCATCCAAAATCTATATTTTTTTTATTCAAATTCAAGTCCTAACAGACTTGGATCAGATTTAGATTTAATCTAATTTTGTTTTAATTTTTTTAAATACAAAAAAAAATAAAAAAGTTAATTAATTTCAATTTTTATATATAATAAATCAATGTAAGTATAATATAAAGAAACTGAATTTATTATATATATATATATATATATATATATATATATATATATATATATTATAATTTCAAATATTATTATATAAATATTATATTATAATCAGATTCAAATTTTAATCAAATCGAATGGAGTGGAGTCAAATCTAAATCTTATTTATTATTATATAAATAAGATGCAGATTGCAATATCCAAATATGAACTAAGTACATAAATACATCATCTGAATCCATGATAATCAATCAAATCAGATGTCAAGTCTGGCCACGGAGTTTCAGGTATCATCAATAATCCTAGTTAGTATCATGGCACATGAGAATGCGCAGCTCCGAATTTGAGAACGACCACAAGAAAAAAATGCCTAAGGTCAAGACCATACAGCCTATCCCTCTCCCAAGACCCCATATAGCTGGTATGGTTATTCATCAAACCAATGAAACCGACCAACCCCACCCAACTCGACCCAAATTGATTGGTTCTTTTAATTTTGGTTTATTCCAATTCAGCTTTTATGCTAACCTAAGAGGTTAGGTTGGTTTTGGTTTGGCCATTTGTAAATCAACCAAAACTGACCCAATCCAACCATAAATACATATTAATATTTCATATTTTAAATTTATATTTTTTAATATGGAAAAGTGGAAAATTCCCATATTTCCTAGTTTAAAATATTTTATATTATAAATTTTATTTTTTTTAATAATGTCAATACAGTTCTTTAAATTTAAATTTAATTTTTAAAATTTAAATCTTTTAAACCAATTAACCCGAATTGGCCAATTTTCACCAATAGTCAGTTGGTTTTGGGTTATCAATTCCCCAACCCGGCCAAATTGATTTGGTTGGCCAAGTAGCTTTGAATCAAACCGAGCCAACCTATAAAAACCCCTAATAGCCGGGACCAATATTGTCTAATGGCCTTTCGGATATATTAAAAGATAATTAGTTTGGGGTAAAGTTACTTACCCCCTGTAGTTTGGGGTAAAGTTACTTATTCCACCCATTTAGTAAGGATGGTGTCATGGGCCGGGCCTAAAATTTTGGGCCCAGACAAATTATCCGGGCTATTAATGATCACCCCTTTTCTTCTGGTAAGATAAATTATCACCCCAACCTGGCAGTAGACTAGAGAGTACCTCTTTAACACACTTTTCCGCTATAGCATTAAGGTGTGGAAATAAAATAAAAAGTTCAAAATAGGTTCAGGAAAATAAAATAAAATTTGAGATGGTAACTTTGTAATTAATTTTTATAAAGGAGGGCATTTTTGTCAATTAAAATATATTTTGAAAACAAAAAATAATGCTTTTATTACTGAGGGCATTTTGATAAAATATCTTTTTATTTTACCCATAAAAATATCCATTTTTCCTCCATTAACAAACCCGTATAACTTTGTAGTTCAGACTTGAGAGAGAGGGAGAGAGAGAAATTCCCCATTTCTTGTCTATTACTATGTAGTACTAGCATTGTCCCCAGAACCTGCCGCAGCCACCAAACTGACCTCAGCACATAACAGAGACAAAATACCCTCGAAAACGGCAAATGGCATAAGCATTTTCCTGAAAAATAAACATCACGGGCTTTTGGGGGATCCCCATGTAAATAACAAAGTCCAGAAGGAATATATATATTTGGGCTGATCAAGGTGAACGACGCATCTGCACCCGGCAATCATCTACCGTTGGTCAAGCCCTTGGATATGAGTTGCAGGGACTCCATCCAATAGCCCAAAATGAAATGAGAATGATAATCCATTATCTAGCTTATTTGATCCTCTTGTGGGTTGTTCATACTTTATAGGAATTTAAAAAAAAAAAATACCCTAATTTGATTATTTAAGATTTGTTCTGCAACATGATTGGATAAAAGAATGAAGTTATCTTCAAAATA